TCGCCTGGTCGATTCAAGCGTTGAAAAGTTCCGTTTGACTCTGTGTCTAGTTTGGCCTTGCCCTGCGTCTTGGCCAATTTGTTCTCTGGCCGCGTTCCAAGCGCAATAAGGTGGGTGTTTATCAACATCCCCCTGGAAGCCTGTTTGTGAAGCCTTGCAGGCTGGGAATGAATGTAATTCACAGCCGTGGAAATAAAAGAGGTTTTTCCGGAACTAAAGTTGTGTTTTATGCTTTTGAAGGAAGCCTAGGTCAGAACAGGAGCCAAAGGACAACCTACAAAGTTACCCCTGCATGGCCCCGTGGGAGTCTGGCAACCAATCAGAACACAAGCTCAAATTCAAAACCCAACAGAGGGCATAAAACCCAGGCAGGTATTTTCTTCTATTGAAACGCCTGTTCCTCCTGTTTGTTTTTTAGGGGCCTACCTTTGCCTAGCCCAGGGGTGGGATTCAAATTTTTTAACAACTGGTTCTGTGGGCGTGGCTTAGTTGGTGGGCATGGCTTGGTGGTCGTGTGACTGGGTGGACATGGCTTGGTGGTCATGTTATTGGCTGGGTGTGGCCAACTCAATATCACTCACATCGTGGCACGCATCTCCTCGCCTGGCCTCTTGTGACTGTGGGGATGCTGCAATAGTCGTAAGTGTGAAAATGGCCATAAGTCACTTTTGTCAGTGCCATTGTAACTTTGAATGGTCACTCCACACAAGCAAAGTACCAGCAAAGGAGGGAAAAAAACTCCAGAGATGTTCCTGAGACAGGAAGTCTAGTCCTGCCCAGAATGTAATAAGGGTTAACGGAGAGGCAGTTTCTGTAAGCAACACCAGAATGTTTCCTTCCTGCCTTCCTTACAGGATTAGCCCTGTAATTTCTTCTAACAACCGGTTCTCCGAACTGCTTAGAATGGTAACAACTGGTTCTAGTGAATAGGTGCGAACTGGTAGAATCCCACCCCTGGCCTAACCTCACATGTCTCAACCTCAGGGGCTCGAAGATGGGTGGACCTCAACTCCCAGAATTCCCTTGGTGGTGAATTCTGGGAGTTGAAGTCCACCTACCTTAACCCTGTCAACAGAGCATTCCGACGAGCTGAAAGTTCTATTGCTGAAGGTTTAGAAATGTCGGCGTGATCTGACGTCTCTTTCTTCCCCCTCCTGGAATTTTCCCGCCTCCAGAAAAGATGGCCGAGACTTTGGGGGTCTCTGAGAAGGTGACCGTCTTCCGCCAGGAGGGGGACCTCACTTACCGCATCCCTGCTCTGCTCTACCTGCCTCCGGAGTCCACCTTCCTGGCCTTTGCGGAGGAACGCTCTTTGCCCCGGGACGAATTCGCCAAGTTCCTGGTGATGCGACGTGGACGGAAAGAGGGCCTGTCCGTGAAGGTAACCCTGCAGCCCCGAAGCATCCGTGATTCCCAGTTCTCTATCTCAGTTTATTACACCTCCCACCTGTTCTGACCCAGCTCCCCAAGTAGGACAAACCCTCTGTCGTTGAAGCAATGGTTTATGAGCTGTGCCAGCAGCGTCGGCAAAAATTTTCTCTCCACACAGACAAACAAGTCCGTCCGTCCGTCCGTCCGGTGGATGAATAGTTATCTGCCACACCTCTTCATTTCTGCCCCCTGCCTTTTATCCCCAGGGCTTAGATGGGGCTTCACTAGCAGCGGTGGCTCTTCTGTCCTGAGGACTGGCCCCTTGATTTCCACTGCTCCCCTGTCTGCCTTCTGCGTATCTGCATGTCAGGAACTGGACCCAGCTGTTCCTCCTCTTCCACATCAGCCGCCTCCAGACCTGAAGGCTGTTGACTCTCCATCTGAGGGTTGATGGACGGCCCAGGCTTTCTTTCTTTCTTTCTTTCTTTCTTTCTTTCTTTCTTTCTTTCTTTCTTTCTTTCTTTCTTTCTTTCTTTCTTTCTTTCTTTCTTTCTTTCTTTCTTTCTTTCTTTCTTTCTTTCTTTCTTCTTTCTTTCTCTCTCTCTCTCT